AGCTGCTGGCCTGGGCAATGTCATCAGCAAAGCTTGGTTCCACGCGTTGTCTGCAAAGTCCTGCCGTCGCTACAAGTCGCATTCACCGTCAGGTTCGGCGCAAGCATACACCACCGTTATCATAAGAGCCAACAGTCGGCCAATATCACCACCAAGACTGCCACGGCGGCCAGCGCCGCCACAGGCCCAGCTCCAGAACTAGCAGCAGCGGCAGCAACAGCACCAGCACCACCGCCACCACCACCCACACTACCACCGTCACCCACGATCACCAGCACGAACGTCCCGTCGTTATCGGCATCCTTATCGTTATCAGCCCTATTATCAGCCTTATACGTTGCCAAACGATCCTTCCAATCCCTGCACCACAGCCGCCACGATCATGGTCATCTGCATCCACAATTGAATCTTAGTCGACAAAAGTAAAAGCACCGCATCCTTGAATCGTAGTGACAATCATGCCGGAAGCACACTCCTCCTCCTCCTCCTCCTCATCTTAATATTATTACTATTACAGAAAACACGACATTACGGTCCCCATATTTTCGACACTCGCATTTGTAGCAAACTTGTATTTAAATCATAAACTTCCCATGGAAGTAAGCTTTGTGATTCAAAGTAACGAAAATTTTGTATACGTAATTCAAATTCAATTTTGCTGCTGTCTAAATATAGTCTATCATTCTTGTGGATCACTATTGTGTACTTTGTTGTTCTTTTTAGATCATTATCTAGTGTGAAAACGGTGAAAAACTAGGTTTACTCGTAAAATATGCGGCCCGTAATGTCTTACACTGTCTTCTATTATTTATTATTAATATTATTACTACTACTTCTCTTGTACTATTATTAATATTTATTGTAATTATTGTTATTATTATTATTATTCATCTTCTTCTTCATCATCACCGTGATCACCAACACCATCATCATCATCATCAACAACAACAACATCAGAATCGTCGTGGCCGTCGTTATCGTCATGCTCGTCATCATCACCATCACCATCACCATCAGCATCATCATCATAACCACCATGATCACCATCGTCGTCACCATCATCGTTACCATAAGCAGCAGCATGATTATATCCACCACCGCAATCAAGCTCACCAAAACCGACATCATCGCCATGATCAGCGGCCATAAAGCCAACACCAACATCATCACCACGAGAATCACCATCTTCTCCCTACTATGGGTATAGATAGCTAGACTAGTACCATTGTCAGCCATCTTCATCTCCATGAATCTTCATCAGTTCTGTCAACAGCATCGTCATCATCTTCTTATTCACCAGCATCGGCGCAGTCAGCCCCCTCAACATATCAAAGTAGACATCATCACCTCATCTCACATATTACCTCCATCATGATCAGGACCATAAGCATGAGCTGCCGAGCACTGATCATCCGCATTGCTACCATCACCATCATCATCAACAACATCGTCACCGTCATCATCATCGTCCCACCGATGACAACATTCTCGTGGCCAGTGTCAGCATGGTATTTATCTTCTTCTTGCTGCTCATGAGCATCTCCCTAATGACACCATAACCCTAAAGCCGAAACCTCCCAAAACCTTTGTCTCCATGCACACTGCCAATGCTATATGAACCTCACCATCAGCAACTGAAGACCTGGCGCGCACGCGTCCGCGCTTCATCTTTGCCACCATACATCTTCAACTAATTCTGCTGCCTACAAAGCTGGAACAGGGTAGCTATGGGCTGTCTTATCATAACATCTCGAAGAGACAGGGACATGAGCGGGACATGAGCCTCAAGTGTTCAGTACCGCATATTCCGAAACTATCAGCTTGCTATGGGTCAACAGGGGTGCTGCTACCCGCAACATGCAATCAAGGCTTCGTAGTGTCCATTGTGAGAAACGCCCCCACCTGCACTCCAAGGTAATGTGGCGCTGCACTTGTTTTTCGGAGCAGACTCGTTGAAATATTGCGCCTCTGCAACTAATTAGGGCTTGGGGGTACTCCTATCAGTATCAGGGGGTTTTGAGTTAGGGGGCACCATGTAGGGTGCGTGGTGACAGGAGAGGGCCGTACTCTTTCGCGGAATCCCAAAAAGAAGCCTCTACCGGGCCCAGTTTGTGTCTTATACCCATTAGCTCCATTGTAGCTTCTTGTTGGGGACTTCCTTATAGGGTCCTAAATATAAACCACAAAATAAGGGACTACAAAGGAGCCTATGGGTACTGCAATGAAACCAAAAGCGCATTCCTGCATGCGCTGACGATCCACGGACAGCAACCAGGATGCCTGGATTGCACACAGCTGCAGGAAACTTCATTGGTACTAGTATTAATATTCGTATTAGTAATAGTATTGATATTCGTATTCGTATTATTAGTATTGTTAGTATTCATATTAATATTGGTATGGGCTTATGCATGGGAAAGGCCGTAGACATCCCTGTGTTCGTGACTACATCGAATCCACAACCCACTATAACTGCACCTATTCGTCGAATATACCAGCCTTAATGATTAGAATAGGAATTTGGGGTATATTATACGATAATTCTATTATAATGAAGCAAACCCCCCATTGGAGAGTATAGGTAATTATTTAGGCCCCTACATTAAGCCCTGCGGATTGGGCTGGGGAGGCGGGTCGACGAGGGCAGGTCGCATCTCGCACACCTGATGCCAGGATAGCGGGGGCGACAAGAGGTATAGGGGTAGGGGTTTAGAGTTTAGGGTTTAGGGTAGGGCCAATCCTAAGCCCTGAGCTACCTCAAATCCTAAACTCTAAGCCCCAAGCAAGCTTGAAACTCAGAGCCGAACCGTGTTAATAAGTTCAGGTAGGGGCCTGAATCATTAGAGCAGGGATGTCGGATAGCAGAATATGATACAGACCACCGTCTTTGAACCCCAGCTGTGAGAAAACCGACTGCTCCTAAAATCCGGCAGAAGCTGCCTTAATCCCTTACCTAGCCCTAAACCCCAAACCTTATCAAACCATAAACACTACACCTCAAATCTTCTAAACCTCAGCCTGGGGGTTGTCTTGTTGGAACCCATGTGACGAAATCGATGTTTGTTGCCGGCAGTCCGTATCTCTCTACTACGTGGCATTCAGGTGCAAGTTTAGGATGCATAGGGTTTAGCGGGCAGCCTGAATGTGCCCGCCAATGTGGGTCCGGAGCTCCGTGGGCAGAACCTTCGGTGGAAGGCTCCAGGGGCTTCGGCGCTCGCACTCGGACACTCCAGGCGAGGCATATGGGAGGCTTCGGAGCTTTCTTCGCCATGAACTCTTGCAAATTGGAGTGCTCGAAGTGATGCTTCCCCTTGTGCAGCCTCGATATGCTTGAAGCTTCATGAGCTTAGTGTTTCAGGGTTTGGGGCTTCGAGGTTAGGGATTAAGGATCAGGTTAGCGGTTGTGGCTTTCTCTCCAGGTGTTCTCAAAAGTACTGTCAATCGACATCGTAATTCGAGCACTTGCAGTGCAGCTTGGAGTCGCGATCGTGCGGGAGATGCCTTCCCGTGACGACTTGACGCCATACACAAGAGAGTAATGTAGGGCCGAAGACATACCTATATTATTTTTGGGGTTCCTTACTATATTTATAGTAAAATCTACCCCAAAGCCTTGTTCTAATCATTAGGGCCCCTATATTACCGCGGACCTATAACACAGCCGTCACAGAATTTACCTCAGTTGCAAAGTCCCCTCGCACTCAGCAGCCCTGAATTGAAAACAGCCGTGTCACCCGACACTGGCGCTGCATATAATCAACATCAGTGTGCCGCTGCCAGGCTGCCACTAGCATGTCCCTCGAACCCTACCTAAGCCATAAACCCTACTGTAAACCTGAACATAGTGTTTAGGGTTTAGGGTTTAGGGTTTAGAATGGTTCAGGAATGTATTCGAGTAACCAGAATGGCGTGACTGACAGCTCTTGGTGCAGTGGGGCCCACTAAGTCCCAGTCACTGTGTAGCCTCTTAAACCCAGTTTAGCGTTTAGGGTTTACCCTGATGCTCTTTCGGATGTCCGGGGTAGGGGTCCGGCTGTGTGTGCTAGAGCTTCGGGCCTTGAACCTCGCTTCGACGTTCCGGGGCTCTCAGCTATATCTCCTTGAGGGGCCGGAGGGCCCAGGGTCATGTGGTGCAGATGCATAGACATATCTTGAGATCCAACATTTGAGAATAGATGATCCGACGTGTAATGGCCGGTCTTCGACAATGGTCCGTGGCCAGCAACGAGGACTCCTGTTGCATGCATTGCTGCTCTGGATGTGCATGCTGCATATATGTCGTAACTCAAGCGTGATTTTAGACGTTCCTTTGGGTTTGGCCATGCCTCGAGTGGATATTGACAGTTTGGCCAGTGACTCGTCGGCTGTTCTCTGTGAGTGTTCATGGCGCACATGTGCTGGTGCGTGCATGCGATATGTTATATGCCTGGAAATGCTTGCTTAGGCGTGCTCAAAACCTTTCTGCCTTCATCGGCTTTCCTTCATTGCAGCGATCAGAAAAAACCTTTGAACACACTGTTCAACGAAGTGAGCGACCACTGCAACATTGGATTTGAAGATCTTGAAAAGTACCTAGACTTGGTACTGGCGCTCTATGAGAAATCGCCTGAGGGTACCTGGGTATGATTCAGTGTTGATTTCTTGTGTTATTCATGCATGCACCATGTGACTTGGCTGTCAAGTGACTGAAGGTGACTTGAGGGTGGCGGATCTTCAAATGGTGTTTATCCAGATTGACAACGCTTGTAACAGTCGGCTGAGCCATGCTAGATACCAGAAAGATCAAAAACAGTGGGCAAAGGACGAGATTCAGCTGCACTAGCACTGCAATTCTCATGGTCATGGCAATTGTTGCATCGCAGATGAGGAAACAGATGTTTTATTTGGTCTTCTCAGCTATGCCAGACGGTACTGGCGCAAGAGTTTGTCCCGACAGACCACCACGATAGTCCCTCCATTTGCATTCATGCACTTTCACATCCAGTTATGTTTTGTGTGTCATGGTGATATGCTTCGCAAACCAGGTTGCAGCAAAACTCCAGGCAGTGTTACGTGCCAATCCCAAAAAAGCTCGACCATCATGCCGGAAAGAACGGAAGGAAGCTGCTGCAAAGGCAACAAAGAACGAGATACAAATCAAGACCGAACAAATGCCTACTTCGGCTGCTTTGCGCCTGGCTCCAGATAGGGAGGTCTGGGAAGTCAGTGACGACTCAGACGTAGAGGTCTTGGTCGTGGAGCGACTGCGTCCGATGGCTTCTTCAGAGCTGGCCGAGCCAGAGGTTGCTTCGATGCAGATAAACGGTCGTTTCATGTATATTTCGATGCTTGTGTATGCATGGTAACCAAGGCTGCCTGTGATGAGGAGCGAAGCTGGAAAATCCTTCGAGCATCTTGGCATTTATTTGGAGGCTTGTGCTGCATGCTGCAATATTATGAAGCTGCAGGTTGTGCGGAGCCATCGATACTACTTGCAGTTCAAGGCCCAGCACGAGGCGGAAGGTTATGATCCTTGTTTGCATTCATTCATTGCATGCTGAGAGCCAGTAGAAATTTCAGTAGATCGTGGCACTCTTTGGTCGCATTAAGGATGTCTTCTCCTACGTCGACAAGATATCTCAGGACTTTGACATGTTCAAGAAATATGTTGAAGGAATCGAGCAGCAGAATGCTGCTGCTGCTGGCCTCGTGGACCGTATGAAGCAACATGAGTTGTTCCCAAGGTTCTGTGAGGAGGTTGGTGCCGAAGCGGGGCTTTGGGGCCAGGACCAGGAGCAAGCGGCTACAGAGCTGTCCCTGTTCGAGGAGTCGCTTGCTGAGAAGGAGCAAAGCATCGTGAATGCTGCCCTGGTTAATGGGGCCTCGGCTGAAAACCAGGTAGCCAAGGCTTTGGACGAGGCAGCGAATGCAGAGACGCAGCTGGAGTATGATGTGGCGGCCTCTCAGCTTGCAGTGCGATTGGATTTTATCATGTGCTTGGTGTTTCTTGATGTTGCTGTTTTCATTTGTTGCAAGCCACATGCTGTCAGCTATCAGGATGAAGCCTTGAATGAGGATGTGCCCCGGCCGGATTTCATTTGTTGCAAGCCACATGCTGTCAGCTATCAGGATGAAGCCTTGAATGAGGATGTGCCCCGGCCGGACGACCTGGATGGAGAAAGCTTGGGAGAAGAAGAGCCGCCTGAGGCTCCTGTTTCCAGGGTTTTGGATGAGGAGTTGAAGCGTGTGGCCACTCCGGCTGAAAGCTCTGTGTTGCCTGCTGCACGCTCTGCGGGTATGGATGCGATATTGCAAGAGCAGCGGCGCAACTTAGCAACAATATTATGTGATTCATGTGTCGCTTTGCATGGCCTTATTTTCTGAAATCAGTGATCTTGCTGCAGGTAGAAATGATGAGCGTGTACGCTTGGTCGCGGAATCGGCTGCTGTGCGTGATTTTCGTGCTGGGAAGGCTAGTCTGATAAGCAGCTGATACAAGCAACTTTTCGGGCCTGTATAAGTCCTAACTCTACCTGAAGGAGATGAGTGCAGCTACGAAAGCCTGCCGGGAAGTGCCTTGCATGCGGAGTTGTCGCTTTTTTTGCTGCCAGCTGCCAAACTTCTTCGATTCAATTAAGGACGTTCCTGGAGAAGTGGGCCCGACCGAGACAGCAGCAACTCGCTTCAACATATGCTAGTACATTCTACTAATTCTACTATAAGGCCGAATCCTATTCTAATATAACCGAATCCTATTGTAATATTACCGAATCTTATTCTAATATAATCCAATCCACAAACCAACCGGTCAGAAGCCACTTCCAGCCAGCTGAGCGGAACTCACGCCCGGGGATCGTCTGCCTGCCGTGATCATGCGAAGCCTAATATTCCCACAACCCCATAAACCTTACACCCGAAACTATCGTATATAGATGTGCACACACATATGATGCATGCTACATGTATCTTTTCTTCATGTGTGCACATGCATATTGTCACACGTATGCATACACGGTATGTGCTGTGTGCAGCAGGTGGCTGGGGAAAGCTACAAGTACCCGATGAAGGTCATCAGCGAAGGCATGCTAGCTGAAGTTGATGCGATGAATAACGAAGCCGAGCCACCCCGCTATGGTGATCAGCAGTGTATCCGCAGAGGTCGCAAAAAGGCAGCTGAAGACGATGAAGATGATGATGACAAGCCTCTGAATGTGATGAATGCAGATGAAGTGATGTTGCAGATGGAGGAGCACTGCAGACGTGAGAGTGTTGAAGCAAAGCTCACAACCACAAGAAGCAAGAAAAAGAAGGAGGAGGTGGAAAAGGAAGCAAGTGATGAGGAAAATTATGAAGACTATGAGGCAGAGGAGGAGGACGACGAAGAGGAGGTGACAAAGGATGAAGAGGATAAGCCAAAGGTGGTTACTGGCAGGAGCAAAGCCAAGAAAGCGCCAGAGGAAGAGGAGGAGGAGGATGTGCCCAAGCGGGGCAGAGGCACAGGCAAAGCCAAGAAAGCGAAGGACGATGAAGAGGATGTGCCCAAGCGAGCCAAAGCCAAGAAGAAGGATGATGAGGAGGAGGAGGTGCCTAGGTGGGGCAAAGGCAAGAAAGCGAAGGATGAAGATGATGTGCCTAAGCGGGGCAAAGGCAAGAAAGAGGAGGATGAAGTGGATGTGCCTAAGCGGGGCAAAAACAAGAAACAGGAGGATGAAGTGGATGTGCCTAAGCGGGGCAAAAACAAGAAACAGGAGGATGAAGAGGATGTGCCTAAGCGGGGCAAAGCCAAGAAAGTGGAGGATGAGGAGGAGGACGTGCCCAAGCGGGGCAAAGGCAAGAAAAAGGAGGATGAAGAGGAAGAGGATGTGCCCAAGCGGGGCAAAGGCAAGAAAAAGGAGGATGAAGAGGAAGAGGATGTGCCTAAGTGGGGCAAAGGCAAGAAAGTGAAGGATGATAAGGAGGAGGTGCCGAAGAGGGGCAAAGCCAAAAGAGGAACAGAGGATGAAGAGGAAGTGCCAAAGGAGGGCAAAGGCAGGGGCAAAGCCAAGAGAGCGAAGCAGGATGAAGAGGATGTGCCAAAAGTGAGCAAAGGCAGGGGCAAAGCCGAGAAAGGAGCAGAGGAAGATGAAGAGGATGTGCCAAAGGTGAGCAAGGGCAGGGGCAAAGCCAAGAAAGGAGCAGAGGAAGATGAAGAGGATGGGTCAAAGGTGAGCAAAAGCAGAGGCAAAGCCAAGAAAAGGGAGGAAGATGAGGAGCCAAAGGGAAGGGTGTCCTGGGAGGAGGGTGCAATGCTGATCGAGGATGAAGAAGACGAGCCAGAAGAGGGATCGGAGATGATGTGGGACTGGGACGAAGAGGATAAAGCCGATGATGAAGATGATGTGGGAGGCAAAGGCAAGAAAGAGGAGGATGAAGAGGAAGAGGATGTGCCCAAGCGGGGCAAAGGCAAGAAAGTGAAGGATGATAAGGAGGAGGTGCCCAAGCGGGGCAAAGCCAAGAAAGCGGAGGATGAGGAAGATGTGCCTAAGCGGGGCAAAGCCAAGAAAGTGGAGGATGAGGAGGAGGACGTGCCCAAGCGGGGCAAAGGCAAGAAAAAGGAGGATGAAGTGGATGTGCCTAAGCGGGGCAAGAACAAGAAACAGGAGGATGAAGAGGAGATGCCTAAAAGTGGTAAAGCCAAGAGAGGAACAGAGGATGAAGAGGAGGTGACAAAGGAGTGCAAAGGCAGGGGCAAAGCCAGGAAAACGAAGCAGGATGAAGAGGATGTGCCAAAGGGGAGCAAAGGCAGGGGCAAAGCCAAGAAAGGGGCAGAGGAAGATGAAGAGGATGTGTCAAAGGCGAGCAATGGTAAGCGCAAGCCGATGAAAGCTGTAAAGGGGATCGAGGAGGAAAGGCCAGGCAAGAAAGCAAAGAACAAAGATGATGATGAAAAGTGTGTCAAGGCTCATGGTTTCTTTTGTGTGTATGCATATATATATATATATATGTATACAGTTATATAATTAAAAAATCATATTTGCCACGCCAGGAGATTGGTCTTATCGTTCCCCCGGACCATGTGCAATCCAATCATATCTACAGCAATGCCTATCGCTACAGCCTGGCACTCGGCCACGATTTGGAGGAGGCTCGCAACAGGGCACGCACTGCTGCAGATGAGTTCCGCCGCAGCGGTCGTGTGCCGGTGGATTATGTGAACGGGTTCCGGGGGCCCCTCAAGAACCCAAGGAAGCCAGCAGCCAAGAACCCCAAGGCAGCCAAAGCGACGGCTAAAGGCAAGGCCAAGGCCAAGAAATAATGTTTCTCCTGTTTTGCTGAACGGCAAAGTCGTTTGGGGGCGGCACGCCAATAGTGCGGGCCATGTAGGAGGGCTGTGGGAGGCAAGTCTACCATGTATGATATACACTCTTCATATGATATTTCCTCAAATATCATCATGGGTGAGTGGACCTGCATAGTCCCCACGGTTGTTTTCACAACGGGCCAGCAAGGGAAACATGCCACACAGACGTTTGCACGCCTACGTCTTTTGCTGTGGTAGCTGCATGTTATGATACGTGCACACATATACACAGGATAACATACCGAGTGTGTGTACTTGTGTTTGTGGCATGTAGGGATGCTGGCTTCTTTAGCATGCACAGTCAACTGTGCACAGATTCTGATGAAGCATGATCGAAACGAGCTGTGCTGCAGCTGCCAAAATCATGGGGGCATGCATAAACTACTTCAGTGCTGTGTGTGCATGCATCAGGACGCTGAAGCTGGCACTCATACAGGCTTAGTCTACATGCTCCCGGCTTTCATGGTTTGTTCGAGCTTCCATTTTTAGGGTGATTGGTTTTGATTTGGGGAACTGCTGGCGGCATGCTTCGCAGAGCTGGGAGGCTTATCCGCACTAACGTCACTAACACATGTGCAGAACGCTTTTGAAAGCACAACAAACCCATGCCGAGGGCCTTCATCATCGAGAGTGATTCTGAGACCATCGAAGAAGATGTTGATGTGGATATGGCCGCAGAGCCTGCGCCGTCGATCCCAGCAGCACCAGCGCTACCAGATGATCATACGCATCCGGGCTACGTGCCAATCCGGCTGTATCTCATTATGCAGCTGCTGGAACGGGTTCTTGTATGCATGAGGAAGATTAGACATGATTGTTGCTCCCTCTCGAGTAGCTTCTGTTCCACGCAGCTAAGATTTCTCCACTGACAAAGCAGTTTGCAGCTGTGGACATGTTCTGTGGTGAAGCTGCAATCGGAAAGAGTTTTCGACGTGCCGGGCTTCCCACCTTGGCCCTGGATGTTGCACGCGATGTGAGGGATGAACCTTGGATACACACATAACCCAATAGATGTAACCCAATATACCCTATAACCCTTAGAACCGCCATCCTACGCACAGGATATTTTATCTCCCCTCGGCTTTCTTCGGCACCTTTGGGCTATCATGAACCTCAAGCGGGGCGGCCTGGCTTGCTTGGGTATTGTATGCTCATCTTGGAGCAAGATGAACGGTACCTTGTCCTAATTGACCTGCATGCCTGTATAATGCGCCAATTATAATGTGCCTTGTGCATGTGCAGTTGCTACATCCGGCAGATCACCGCAGAACCCGTTGGGCAACGAGCACCCTAGAAGCATGTCCTGCTTGTGTTTTGTATTATAAATGCATACCACAGTACTGTGGAAAGGAACCACGCAAAAGTCCGCCTGGCAAATATCATGGTCAGTCGCGATTCTTGGCTAGATTAATTTCAACCTATACCCCTTTACCCTAAAACAAACAATGCCAAGCCGCCCAAACACAAGCCACAAGCCTGCAACACTACCTATGCATCCGACCTGCATACCCCAACCCCTGAATCCTATAGACACTGCAGCCCAATCCTCTGATTTGCATCCCATGCAGCATTGTCTTTGCGGGTTTGTGCTGCTGTATAAGTTCAGGGGGTTGGAGGCTTCGGGTGGTGAGGGCTTATATAGGGATGCTTTAGGGTGTACAAGTGTCCAGGGGCTTATATTTCATAAGGGTGCTTTGGGTATAGATGGGGCTATTTTTCACATCGAGGACATATGCGTGATGCAATAGTCCTACTTGGTAGTCTTGTGTCCCCCCATTACACCCGGAAGCTGCAGCTATATAGAAACCACCCGATGATCCTGCCCGCGAACTAAGTGTGTTCTCCTCTGCATTGCAGCGATGCACCAAAATGCACACTACATGATTGAGAACCCGCTTCAGAGCCTGGCCCGGGGCTTGGGGGTTTAGGGGTTTGGGGTTATAATAGGGAGGTTTATAGGGCTTTAGGGATTTAGGGGTCTAGGGGTTTCGGGTTTAGGGCTTTAGGGGTTTAGGGCTTTAGGGGTTCAGGGGTTTTGGGGTTTTCTGGTTTAGGGCTTTAGGGGTTTTGGGCTTTAGGGCTTTAGGGCTTTAGGGGTTTTGGGGTTTCGGGTTTAGGGCTGTAGGGCTTCAGGGGTTTAGGGGTTTTGGGCTTTAGGGCTAGAGGTTTAGTTCAGGGGTTTTGGGGTTTCGGGTTTAGGGCTGTAGGGCTTTTCGGGTTTAGGGGTTTTCGGGTTTAGGGGTTTAGGGCTTTAAGGGTTTAGGGGTTCAGGTGTTTTGGGGTTTTCGGGTTTATATATAGGGCTTTAGGAGTTTTCGGGTTTAGGACTTTAGGGGTTTAGGGCTTTAAGGGTTTAGGGGTTCAAGTGTTTTGGGGATTTCGGGTTTAGGGCTTTAGGGGTTTAGGGGTTTATAGGGTTGTAGTGCAGCTTTGGTTCATGCCACCAAGATCGACCTTCACCCGCGCATGGAACGATTCCTGCATCATCGTGTTCATTACAGGAGTATGACATGGCTTGCAATGTTTGGTGCCGAAACAGCCAAGCCTGTCAAACTTATATCCAGCCCTTCGTGACCCTGATGTACCGCAAGCTGAATCGCAAGATGCTTGGTCTCCAAAAGTCATCTACGACGAAGAGATATATTGATGCCAAAGGCAAACCATGTTTCTCTGGGACTCGGTGTCTCAAGGGTACGGCTGTGTACCCCCCTCGGTTTGGTGATCAGGCCTGCCTATCTTATAGTGAAAAACACTTTTGCTCAGCCCCGAGTTTGATCCCTGACAGGTTCGAAAGAAGTTCATGCTCCACGGCCTCGTGTGCCCCAACAGGCGTGGCTTGATCGATTTCGGTCAGGATCGCTGGGAGGATGCCAAGCAGCCAGGTTGCATTAATTGTATGGAGCAAACTTCGGTAACAATTTGGGAAAGGACCTACAATAAGCACCCTAGGCTCCTGTAATCGTGGGGTTGCTGCCTTCTCTGGAGGAGGGTTTGGGGCTTAGTGTTGGGATCTCACTATAGATAGAGATAGACATAGAGATGTAGATATAGCTAGATAGATCCTTAATAGCTCCCCATAGATCCTTTATCCCAGGCTCGACGATGTTGAGAGGCTGATCGAAAGGATCGTGTTTTCTGGTGATGCAAGGGCTCTGGGGCCTGGAATGTGATGATGTTTTGGCTGCAGCAGCAACGTCGTAGCAAGGCTTGACCCAGGCTAGTCTAATCGGCCGACCATATGGGTGACCCCACATACATGGCTGGTGTACAATCTAGCCAATCGTGCCTGTGTGGTGGATGGTGCTGCTGCAATGAAATTCAGCCCAGCTGTGATGTGATCATGGCTGCTGTTTGGGGTAGATGCACGACCTAGAGAAAGCTACCTGCCTGTCAGCTGATCTACGAGTAAACCCAGAAGCTCAACCTGATGCCATGCTGAGCCAAGCTACTTGTCCTGTATCCAAAGTAGCTGAGCAGAATGAGCAGAACAGCAGCAGCCAGTCATACCTGGGATGTATAGATAAATAGTTTCTACTTATGGATTCAGGGTGGTAGTCCTATGGGCTTCATAGTCAGTGCTAGGCTTCCAGGGAGAGGGTGCCTTGGGGGACCTATGTTTTCAGGGAGAGGGCGTCAGATAGGCGTCAGTTAGGGTCAGATGGGGCGTGAGATAAGCGTAAGATCAGCGTAAGATAGAGCGTGAGATCAGCGTAAGATCAGCGTGAGATCAGCGTGAGATCAGCGTGAGATCCTGAAAGGGCCCTCAAGAAGCTGCAGCCTTGACGCCCCACGTGAGATATGCGTAAGATCCCACCGTAAGATAAGCGTCAGATGGGCGTCAGATGGCTGCCAGCTGCCCGTCAGATAAGCGTGAGATCCGCGTCAGTTCGGTGGAGCTAAAACCTTGGCTTGTCCGGGGCTTATAGGTCGGCTTCGGGGGCATATAGGGTTATGCTTCGGGTGCTCTCGGGTCTTTCACATAGACGGATGAGTGAATGATGGTAGGCTGGTATAGTATGATGATGAAATATGATGTAGCCGTCTGTCTCTCATGGTTGTTCCTGATGTATGCTGGAATGATCTGTGTTGTTCGATGCCTCTGTATGCATGGGATGAAGTCAAGTGAAACTCCAGCAGCGACAAAGAACAAACAACAGCACCACCAGCACACCACCAACAACAACAGCACCAACACCGACACCACCACCAACAACAACAACAACACCATCACCACCACCA